CCCAGGCACTCCAACATACTAATGCGTCCAGTAGAGAGAGCGAGTCAAGAGACCAAATTTAGGGAGAAAGGTTCGGAGGCGACTACTGATTGCGTAGTCCTCTTCATAAATGATGCTAGCCTAGTAACCAGTCCACAGTTAACGATTCAAGCATTAGGCAAATTTAATATCACCGCAATCCTCGATTCCGGAAGTGAAGTCAATCTCTTATCGGAAAGGATCTGCGAGCTCACAAAAATAAAATCGAATATTCCCGTGCTACCAGTCGAGAATGTCCTCTTAGTGACCGCTTTTGGCAGGCGATCAAAGCGAATTCTTCGACAGGCCCTAATCGAGTTTACGATAGGCCAAGATGAGTTCGAAACCATTTTTATGATCTCATCTCAGTTAGCCAACGACTCCATCCTTGGTTGTCAGTTTCTCCGTGAGTACGGATTCAGAATTAATTTCGATTCAGAAACAATCACGTACGCCCGTGATGGTGCTCTTAAGGAGCAGACACTTGCCCCTAAGGCCGATTTACTCGAGACCCGTAGTAATGACCGAGGTGTGATCAAAAATCCCTCAGATTCTGACCACTCTGTCGCAGGTCAGCGACCCAGTGACCAACCAGCTGACTGTGACTCCCCATCCCATCACCCCAGTAGCTGGCGGTTGCGAGGGAGCCACGCCGCCCCAAATCCTACTAGGCAGTGAGGCCATGAAAGTCGCTCCGCCCGGTCCTCGGATCGGGACAAACCCGCTCAATTTAGAGAGAGACAAAGGGTCCTTACCAAGCATTACTGTCTCTAGGCAATTGGTCAAATTAAAGAAAAATGTAGTTCAGTCTGCAAGGTCAAGTCTCCCTGTGGGGAGATTTCACTTTCTCACCCAGACTCTTTAAATAGTTGCAGTTTACCAACAAAGAAAGGGCCGTGATAGCGTAGTCGATATAGCGACTTTATACGGGCTGGATGACCTAGGGGTCGGAGTTAAAATTCTGGTAGGGTCTTTCCTCAACAGCATCCAGACCGGCTGCGGGGCCCACCCAACCTACTATCCAATGGGTACCTGGGGCTCTTACCCCGGGAGTAAAACGGCCGGGGAGTGAAGCTAACCACTCACCTCCAACTAATGCCGAGGTCAAGAAAACGTGGGTCTATACATCCACTCCCCACACATCTTCATGGCGTAGTGTTTCACTTCTTAAGCACAGGGACAACTTTACCTTTACCTTACGCTCCTAGGAGGAGCCTTTTGTCTAACACATTGTAACCGTACATCCCTCGTCAAAATTATATAATTTAGGGTACGAACAACTAATGCATTGTTTCTCACCATGAGAGACGCTCCATCGGCGAGATACCATCCCGGGACCGCCTAGGTGTAATTCAGCTATTGTCCTCCTTAGGCTAAGGGTGCCCCTATTGTCCCTAACGCCGCCTGTTTACTCCGAATACCATAAACCCATGAACTGACCGTGTGCGAGACCGGCCAGGAGGGGTCTTGGGTTCCTTGAAGACCCACAGAAATTTATGAGCTTCTTTAAAATGTAGGTCAGATGCCAGGCTCGACCCTTGGCTTTCTCTTTTTATTTTCTTGTTTTTCTGATGCCAACTGGGGGACTGGTAAAGAGGCAGTCGGCTATAGGGAGCGGAGGAGGACAGTAGTTGAATGGTAGATATAGAGGAAATACGTGTTTAACTGTAGGGTAGCGAGTAGGGCGGACGGAGCTGCTAACTTAAAGGACGATACAAAGATTAACAGTTGAATTGAATTTTAAATTAAAAGTACGATATTCAATGTTCTGGAGATCCCGGATTTATTTACCCCGAAGTGTGTTCCACTCCCATCTCCGAAGCACCCGTATCCTGTGATTAAGAACTCAAGCTCGAGCGACAGTCGTGGCAGCTGTACGTCGGCGGACGGCTACAACATCCTTCACTGTTGAACGTGGAATTTGTAACTGCAAGCTAGCAGCAAGAACTGATTTGGACGGACTTCCCTGGACTGTCACTTTAATGCGACTGACATTTTCTTCAGAGGTCCGTGTCTTTCTAAGAGATTTTACTCACAACAGACTACCTGTAGTCTTCAGTTTTTTGTCCCAGAACCGAATGCTTTTCTGTGTAGAATGTTGACGTCCATATCGTGTTCTGAAACGCTGGACAGCTGTGAGAAATTGCAACTCTGGTAGCCACAACAAGAATTGAACCTGTACCTGTGGTGTCGACATTGCTACTGATACAGAGCTCGCGGAAGGTAATCAGGTGGCGCATGCGCGCAAGCCAGTCGTGAGTTGTTTATTCCGTTGACATAAACCGGATACATGTATGGAAATTAGTTTCCGGGATTTACATTTTTATTTTCGATACATTTCATCCGGACTCCCTGGACAAAGGACCAGCCCGCCGCAAGGCCACCACCCACACACAGACACAACCATACCTCGAGCGGGACCAGAAACCACGATCCCAAGCACTCGAGCGGGTGAAGACGGCCCACGCCCCAGACCGCGCGACCACCGTAATCCGTAAATGAGGAACTAGTGCACAGTAATAATTCAGTTAAATTCTTATTTATTTGCGTGCCAACCCAAACCCAACGACCAGTTTCACAGTGAGCACGAGCGAAAGAAAGAAAACAAATATATACAAAGCACAAATCACTGCAAAGTAATAATAATATGCTATTAAAAATAAACTTAGCTCTGTAATACTAAGAAATATTTATTTACTGTCAAATGCGATATGAGAAATCAAAATTTAGGAAAACGGGAGTAAGTAAACTATGACAAGGAAACATAAAATTAAATTATATTATATACTCTCGCGGTAGCGTAGTTAGTTGAGGCACTATGCTACAAGTCGGAAGGTTGAAGGAAGGTCCCGATGAGGTCACTGGATTTTTCAATTGACCTAATCCTTCCAACTGCACTAAGGGCCTCGGATTGACTCAGCCTCTAAACAGAAATGAGTACCAGGAATTTTCCTGAGGGGTAAAGTGCGGCAGGTGCGTAAGGCTGACAACCTTACCGCCATCTTTGAACAGATTGTCTAGATCAGTGTTTCCCAACATGTGGTCCGCGAGTAATTCAAAAGGGGTCCGCGGGATAGTTTATTTTCATTAAACTTTATCTTAGCATGTTCCTCACACCTGGGATATTTGCAATGTATATCTCTGGCTCTTGAGGCCCATGGTTGAAGTAAAATTTAACGGGACTGTTGGTACAGTTACTTCTTCCCTTTGTAAAGCAGAGGCGAATAACCAACGATTTGTGTAGCTTTTTCCAAGGACATTTTCTTTTGGTCGGCCCATTGCATCTCAGACCCGTGTTTCAGGGTGGACTGCTGTCCTAGTACCCGCTGTCCGACCATTCTCCCCTCCTCCCCCACCAAATCCATCCCTCTCTGGTTGGGAATAAACCTGGGACCATTGACCACGTTTCTTATTCATTTCAGTGGCAGAGCGAACAACCCGTGTTTCTTTAGTTTTTGTGCAGTGAATTTTTATATTATACAAGTGTGTTTCTCGGTGTAATATTCAGTTTTTCTGCTTTTGTTCAAATAATTGAGTTCACAACGAAACTTCTGATTTTCAGTTTGTTCACGATCTTATTTAGATATGAATCGGTGGTTAAAGTGTGGATCATTGAAACGTAAGACAGACGATAATCCGAGTGGATCTAGTGTTGTCGAAAATAGTACCAGGGCAGATAAAGTTCCTTCCCTCAAAAAATCACGCAAATATTGTCCATCTTATTTGCAAATGGGATTTTCCGTTCTGAATAAAGACGGCGAAGACAGACCACAGTGTGTTCTTTGTTGCGAAGTGTTATCGAATGAATCTATGAAGCCGTCGAAGTTGAGACGCCACCTTGAAACGAAACATGGCGAATCAGTTAATAAGCCAATAGAATATTTTCAAAATAAGAAACTGCAACTTTGTGGTTCACAGAATTTAGTTAAGGACATTGTATGTGGAACGAAAAATGAAAAGGCTGTTCTTGCCTCTTACGAAGTCGCCCTTCTGATCGCTAGAAATGGACAACGCCATACAATCGGGGAAGATTTAATTTTGCCTGCTACAAAAACGATAACAAAGAACTTGTTTAGTGAAAAACATGCCAACGAGGTGTCTCTAATATCGTTATCTGACAATACTGTGAAAAGAAGAATCGACGAGATGGCTCAAAATGTGAAAGATATTTTGCTAGAACGGTTACGTCATAGTGAATATTTTGCGTTGCAGTTGGATGAAAGCCACGATATTTCAAATAATGCTAATTTGGTAGCTTTGGTGCGATATGAACACGAAAATAAAGTTTGTGAAGATTTTTTGTTCTGTGAATCGTTACCTCTTAATACAACTGCTGAAGCCCTTTTCAAAGTTGTCAATGACTTCATAACTACAAATACACTTCAATGGGAAAAATGTGTAGGTATCAGCACAGATGGTGCTCAGGCAATGTCGGGAATACATAATGGTTTGGTCGCACGTATCCAGAAAGTCGCACCTCTTGTTAAATGGACACATTGTTGCATACACCGCGAAGTATTAGCTGCACGCCGTATGCCCTCCAAAATGAAAATCGTTCTAGACGAGGCAGTAAAAATTGTCAATTTTATTAAAGCCCGTCCTCTTAACAGCCGATTATTTTCTGCGCTTTGTAATGAAATGGGAAGTGATCACGAACACTTATTATTGCACTCAGAAATCCGATGGCTGTCCCGGGGTAAGGTTTTGACGCGGTTGCTTGAGCTTCGAGACGAAGTAAGGTTGTTCCTCATAAACTCTAAATTTCAGTTAACACACTATTTAAATGATTTCGCATGGCTCTCCTCTCTTGCTTACTTGGCGGACATTTTTAACATCTTGAATACTCTTAACTCGAGCCTTCAAGGTACATCTGTCACCGTGTTTTCTGTGCAAGACAAGATAGAGGCAACAATCAAGAAGTTAAATTTGTGGTGCAGCCGTATCGAGAAAGGAAAATACGATTCCTTTCACATGCTGAGTGATTTCATTGATTCCAGTGAACAACCCCTTTCTAGTGATGTTGCTGAAAGTATGATTGAACATATGAGGTCATTGGCGTCTCAACTACGTCTGTATGTTCCGTTTGGTCTTGAAAATAACGACTGGATGAAAAATCCCTTTGTAGACTCTGAACTTGAACTTCCTTCTGCCGAGGAAGAGCAACTTATCGAGCTGTCCTGTGATTCGGCGTTCAAATTGCTGTTTCCTTCGTTACCGTTACTGGAGTTTTGGTTCCAAGCTAGGTCTGTTTGCCCTGAAATTTCCAAAATGGCTGTAAAACATCTGTTGCCATTTCCCACTACATATCTGTGCGAGACAACATTTTCTCATCTTGTACACATGAAAAACAGATATAGGAACAGACTTAACGTGGAGCCAGATCTACGTCTGAAATTATCCAGTTTTGATCCTGACATTCGACAGTTGACATCTGAAAAACAGCAACAGCCATCACATTAGGTGAGTGTTAAATTCATAGTATTGATATGTTCGTAATCTTCCGAATATCTCCATTTATAACAGTATTTTATTGTCATAAATGACACATTTAGTGTTGTAAAATTTTAAGTTACTGCTTCATTTTTATGATATGTACTAGTAAAATTTAAAAATTTCCATTTTGGGTTTTATGGGGGCCGCGATGAATTAACATTCGTTATGGGGGGTCCGCGGCATCAAAAAGGTTGGGAAACACTGGTCTAGATAATGTGGGACCCTCATCGTCTCACAACACTATGGCCTTCGCGGCAGGTTATAGGTATAACTTTACCATTTAACTCTTTAAATGAGCCCAGAATAGACGTAACAGATAGCTTATATTGAACACTGCATACCGCAATGAACTAGACCGAACCAAAATTCGAATCCCTGATGAGGTCACTGGATTCAACTGACCCAATCCCTTCAGCCGCGCCACAGGCCTGGGGTTTAACCCAGCCTCCAACTGAAACAAGCACCAGGAATCCCTTCGGGCACAAAGGCGGCCGCCGCGTAATGCTCAAATCCCCCACCACCATCCGAGAGCCGGCCATGCAGAAAATGGGGGAGCGTTGACGCCTTATCACCCTATGAGCCACAACGGTCCGCCACAGGGACAGCTTCAAGCTTTATTTCCATTTATGTCAAGTGTCTGTTAATTAGTGTAATGTGTCAATGTCTCCTACATTTAATTAACTGAGACATACATAATGACATTCAATTAGCTTTGAGACACCACATTTATGGGCGCAATATAAGAATATCTTCAGGTATTGTCTCACTGTGCAGTTCAGCTGGAAACCAGACACTCGTGCAATTTGTCGTCCCTCCTGTGTAAGCTACATACTTTTAGAGCTGTGAGTTTATAAACGAGTATTGGAACCCTAACGATCCTATTTGCATGTAGAGAAACATGCAATCACTGCTTCATGCCGGAACTGTGGGCTACGTGACTGAAAGTTGTCAGTTCCAGATAGGAATACTTACTGAACCTTGTAATGGAGTTGTTCAAAGATCTCCATTTTAGATGCATTCTATGCACAGAGCATAAAATACTTGTTAGTCAACGCATTTCAGCTTCGTAACAATTAAAGGATTCCAAGTCGACACTTGAACTTGGAAGCTCGCCTACAGAATAACCTTCAGAATGACAAGCTGAGAACTGAACATGTGTGTTCCAGTGTCCTGTACAAGTCCATTAATCATTCTAACTTAATTTATATTTTCAGGTCATACTGCGTCAAACAGAGGGAGTCATCAGGGCTGTTACGAGTGGTTGCCGTCCCTGAACATAAGGCCATAGCCAACGAGGCAGCCCACCAGATTCAGGGACGGCAGGGGCTGGGCCACGATAATCAAGGGCGCCAGGGGCCGGCCCACGATAATCAGGTAAGCCATGGGCCGGGCCGCGATAATCAGGTACGCCAGGGGCCGGACCGCGAGAATCAGGTACACAAGGGGCAGGACTGAATCAGGGACGTAACGGGCCAGACCGCGAGAATGAGGGACGCAACGGGCCTGACCGCGAGAATCGGGGGCTCCAGGGGCCAGACTGCGAGAATCAGGGACGCCAGGGGCCGGACCGCGAGAGGCAGGGACACCAACCTAAGGCCATAACCGAGGCGGCCCACCAGATTCAGGGACGGCAGGGGCTGGGCCACGATAATCAAGGGCGCCAGGGGCCGGCCCATGATAATCAGGGAAGCCAGGGGCTGTACCGCGAGAATCAGGGGCGCCAGTGGCCGGACCGCGAGAACCAGGGACGACAGAGACAGGGACACCAACCTAATGCCATAGACAACGAGGCGACCGACAGATTGAGGGACGTCAGGGGCTGGGCCACGATAATCAAGGGCGCTAGGGGCTGGCCAACGATAATCAGGAAAGCCAGGGGCCGGACCGCGAGAATCAGGGACGCCAGGGGCAGGGACACCAACCTAAGGCCATAGCCAACGAGGCGGTACACCAGATTCAGGGACGGCAGGAGCTGGGCCACGATAATGAAGGGCGCCAGGGGCCAGCCGAAGATAATGAGGAAAGCCAGGGATCGGACCGCGCTAATCAGGGATGCCAGGGGCCGGACCGCGAGAACCAGAGACGACACAGGCAGGGACACCAGCCTAAGGCCTTAGCCAACGAGGCGGACCACCATATTCAGGGACGGCAGTGGCTGGGCCACGATAATCAATGGCGCCAGGGCCCGGGCCACGATAATCAGGGAAGCCAGGGGCCGGACCGCGATAATCAGGTACGCCAGTGGGCGGACCGCGATAATCAGGTACGCCAGGGGCCGGACCGCGATAATCAGGTACGCCAGGGGCCAGACCGAGAGAATCAGGGAAGCCGGGGGGCCAGACCGCGAGAATCAGGGACGCCAGGGGGCCCGACCGCCAGAACCAGGGACGCCAGGGGCCGGACCCCGAGAACCAGGGACACCAAACTCAGGCCATAACCAACGAGGCGGCACACCAGATTCAGGGACGCCAGGGGCTGGGCCACGATAATCAAGGGCGCCAGGGGCAGGCCCACGATAATCAGGGAAGCCAGGGGTCGGACCGCGAGAATCAGGGGCGCAACGGGCCGGACCGCGAGAACCAGGGACGACAGAGGCAGGGACACCAACCTAAGGCCATAACCAACGAGGCGGCACACCAGATTCAGGGACTGGCCCACGATAATCAAGGGCGCCAGGGGCCAGCCGACGATAATCAGGGTATCCAGGGGCCGGACCGCGAGAATCAGGTACGCAAGGGACCAGACCGCGAGAATCAGGGGCGCAACGGGCCGGACCGCGAGAATCAGGGGCGCAACGGGCCGGACCGCGAGAATCAGGGACGCGACGGGCCGGACCGGGAGAATCAGGGACGCCAGGGGCCGGACCGTGAGAACCAGGGACGACAGAGGCAGGGACACCAACCTAAGGCCATAACCAACGAGGCGGCACACCACATTCAGGGACGGCAGGGGCTGGGCCACGATAATCTAGGGCGCAAGGGGCAGGCCCACGATAATCAGGGAAGCCAGGGGTCGGACCGCGATAATCAGGGACGCCAGGGGCCGGAATGCGAGAATCAGGGAAGCAACGGGCCAGACCGCGAGAATCAGGGGCGCCAGGTGCCCGACCGCGAGAACCTGGGACGGCAGAGGCAGGGACACCAACCTAAGGCCATAACCAACGAGGCGGCCCACCAGATTCAGGGACGGCAGGGCCTGAGCCACGATAACCAAGGGTACCAGGGGCCGGCCCACGATAATCAAAGAAGCCAGGGACCAGACCGCGAAAATCAGGGACGCAACGGGCCGGACCGCGAGAATCAGGGACGCCAGGGGCCAGAACGTGAGAAACAAAGAAGCCAGAGGAAAGGGCACCAGAGGCCTCACCGGCGTTACTGAAAGTAAGTAAAGTAAATGTATCCCTGTAACAGGCTGTGGAAGCCCATAGTTGTGAGATGTTGAGGTTCCCACATTTTCTAGACAATCGGCTCATAGATGACAGCAAAATTATCAGCCCTACGCACTGGCCACCCTTTACCCCCAAGAATATTCCTGCTACTCGTTTCTGTTAGAGGCTGAGTCGACCCCAGGTCCATAGTGTGGCTGGAAAGATTAGGTGAGTTGAAAGAAATCCAGTGATCTCATCGGGACTTGAACCTGCGACCTTCCAGCTTGTAGAATAGCGCCTCAACCAACTATGCTACCGCATTCCCCAATTTCCATCATACTACAATAAAAAGGTCAAATTAAGGACTGTTGGCCAGATTTACTGTTATATATCAGATTGTAATACACTTTAATTTGATTGTATAATAATTTTTCCAGTACTGCCCATGTTAAAAAAATATGTGGGCAGTCATACATGTTTTGTTGTTTTGTGGAAAGATTTTCTATCTTATGGACACATTAAATAGTAAACGAACATAGAACTTGTATTGTGGCCCACAGGAGAGTGCATTATGTGAAAGGTCTGGAAGTGCAGAAATGGATATCAAGCAAAACTTTCAGCAGTCTGAAAATCTGTGACCAGTGCTGCAGATGGTTGACCATGTATAGCAAGCAGATAATGCCCTGGTCAAGATATTTTTATGGTATTATTGTTTTAATGATGGCCATGAATTGAAGTAGATGCAGGAAGTTATATATTGTGATCATGATTTTAGATGAAGCTCGAATTTTGGTCAGTTGTTGTCACAGTACCTTCAGCAAGAGCTCAAGATGCCACACATTTCAGTCTTTTGTGAGCTCATGAGTGCTGCAGAAAATGTGGGAGCCTCGACTCCTTATCACCCTATGTGCCACAACGGTCTGCCACAGGGACAGCTTCAAGCTTTATTTCCATTTTTGTCAAGTGTCTGTTAATGTTTTGTCAACTTGTCCGGTTAATTAGTGTAGTGTGTCAATGTTGTAACCGATCACCAGTGGACTTGAATGTGTGAGGTTTTGGAGGGGAGGTGCCTACGTGACAATAGCACTGCATTATTTCGTATGTGCAGTTTTGTAGCTGGAGTGGGGAATGATGTCATGTAGGGTGTGGTTCTGAGAAAGCTCTCAGAGCGACGCCAAGCCAGTGAAAAGACTATCAAAAAGGCACTCCCCGAGAGTGGAGGCACTAGCTGGTTTTTGTCTGTATAGAATCGCCAGTATAGGCGGCACTGTGTCAGTGCCAATACAGCCAATAGTGAGAAATGTACAATTAAAAACGATATATCAGTGTTTGTGACAAGAAAGGAATAATAAGTAAATTAAACCTAGGTGGTGTAGCCAAGGTTTTGTTGCATTGAAGTGTCTTCAGAGATAGACCTGTCATCGACCTGAGAAAAGATCCATGCATACCATAATACCAAATCCAACCTAATAGCTTCCTAACCCAGATAACAAGAAAGGGGTAAGGTGGACGGAGCGGTAACCAAGAGAAAGCCGAGGCAACTACGAGGAGGAGAAGAGCGGCCGGAGCAACGGGCAACAACG